TATTCAGCATTGGTTAGACTTAACCTTGAGTATTGGACACCACACTTCAAGAAGGATGCTAACAAACTGAAACAAGTTCAGAGGAGGGCGACAAGGATGATCAGGGGGCTGGAAACCAAGCCTTGTGAGGAAAGGCTGAAAGAATTGGGCATGTTTAGCCTTGAGAAAAGAAGACTGAGGGGTGATATGATAGCACTTTTCAAATATCTGAAAGGCTGTCATACAGAGGAGAGGCAGGATCTGTTCTTGATGATCCCAGAGTGCAGGGCATGCAACAATGGGCTCAAGTTAAAAGAAGCCAGATTTCCGTTGAATATCAAGAAAAGCATCCTTACCGTTAGAGCAGTACGACAGTGGAACCAGTTACCTCGGGGGTTGGGGAGTGCTCCAACACTGGAGGCATTAAGGAAAAACTTGGATAATCACCTGGCAGATAGGCTTTGATTGTATTCCTGCACTGAGCAGGGGGTTGGACTTGATGGCCTTGTAGGCCTCTTCCAACTTCACTTTTCTATGATTCTATGGTGCGGACACAGATGACAAAGGCTGTACTAGTGTGCTTAGTACAGTAAGTCACACTAGAGTAGGCCCACAGAACCAGTGAGGATTTGGTGAGTCAACTCCTCCATAAGTTCCATTGATTCAAGTAGGCCTATTCTAGTTACAACTTACTTTAGTGTAGTAAGTCACAACTAAAATAGATCCGTTTCATTAATGGAATTTGCAGAGACTCACCAAATCCCTACAGGTCTACTCTAGAGTGACTTACTACATTAAGGAACAGTATTTCAGCTAAAGTGACAATGGCTCATTAACCAATGAATGGGACTATCAAGATGTTAATTATCAGATCCCAGTCAGGGTGATAAGCTAAACAAACCTGGTTGTGACAAGATTCCTGTTTATAGGACAGCAATCAGAGACTATCCAGGGCGACAACTATTTTACGTTTGTTAAGATATTACAAAAAACTGAGCTATTGATCTATGTAACAACAAGGAGCTTTGATCTTTTTCAGGTATTTAGAGATACACTGGAAAATTTTCATGTAGCCATTTTCTCCTATCATACTGCCTTTTTTTATATAGCAACCACTTTGAGATCCATAATACAGTGTAGTGGGAAGCTGAAGTACTCTGAAAAAAGTTTCAGTATGTTTCTACTCCAGATGAACGATTTGTGTCTATTCATTGTTTTGTGTAGGGTGTCTGAAAGGGGTTTAAATGGATTGTTGTGCTCTGTTGTTTTAAATGTGTTTTAATATTAATTATATTTACTACTTTAATATAATCAGTGTTTAATTATTTTTTAATATTTTATACTTTATTGTTTTTAGCTTTTAAATACTGTTTTTAATTATGTAAGCTGGGTCCTTTTAAGGACAAAATTGGGATAAAAATATTTTAAATTAATTAATTAAGAGAGACACCGGTAGCAGATAACAGCATAAGTCACATTAGAAGATGAACAAGTAAGTGAGTCCCTGATATTGTGGCTGACACAGTGCTGCCAGTGCAGATATGGGGGCACAACTGGCATCTAGGCTGGAACACAGTCTTGTTCCTAACTCCATCTCCATGTTGTGCTACCTGTTGTGTGTCAGTAATTCTTTCAGATTAAGGGATTGTCTCTAGGCTGGTATGAGCCAGCCTCACAAAGCCTGGGAGATGGAAGTACTATTGTTCACAATGTGTTGGATCACTAATAACACATTGCAGTGGTTTCAGTTGGGAGATGCAGATGACTAATAAGAGGGTTCTTTCATTCTCTCTGCTGGGTCTTTCTCATACAAGGTTGTTGCCAGGTAGCAGTCTGGCTCTATCAATTTGCTCTTTTTTGCCACACTGACTAGATATGATTTAACTCAATGGATGAAATCCAAAAGTAAGTCACAACTAGAATAACCCCACTGAATCAGCTCAGATCTAGTGAGTCAACTCCTCTGTAAGTTCCACTGATTCAATCAGCTTACTCTAGCTGCAACTTACTACTGGATTTCAGCCTGTGAGTTTTAAGTCTATCCTGTAGTTTTGAATAAATAGTTATATCAAAGAACTTGGCTACAATGGACTTGGTGGTATGTTCTGGATGGAAGCTGGAGGAAAGTATGTATCTGTTATGGTTAGTAGTATCCAGAAAGTATGCATGTTTGCGTAGACTTGTCCAGGCATAGACTGATGGAAAAAGGAAAGCTACTGAAGTCCTGGTGGAATTTTTCCAGTAATTCCTTGCCATGAGTCCAAATGATCATGATGATGACATCACTGATGGATTTGCACTCCCATGTCTGAAGAAGTGGATTTTGATCCATGAAAGCTCACACTGAAATAAATCTTGAAAGTGCTACAAAAGTTTACCCTTCTTTTCCTTTTTCCTTTTTCCAGCATGCTGAGATAGCCTAACATGGCCACTTCTTTGAAAATCTGGGGAGGGGAGGGATTGTAATAGCTCCACTCACCTCCATAATCACTCTTCTTAGACTCTTATGTATGAAAAGTGAAAGTTCTGGAGGGGAGAGCTTCCTGAGGCTCTCCACGTGAACCAGAACTCTGTTAAATAATGTATATGGACAGGCCGTGTAGATATAGAAGGCTCTTCCCTTCAGATGTTTACCTTCTACATATAGAAAGTGTTAGAAATGCGGATGGGTGGGGCAGACCTAACATGCCCCTGTTCCTTTTATGATTACTGCCAATCACTTCTGATGCCTGGAATGGGCTAGAGTCAACTGGAAAGACGTGTGGTCTTTCTGTGAAAGGATGACTTCCTGCTGTGCTAACACTGATATAGCCGAGAAGAATGATGATCTTTTTGAACCCACATTAAATAACACTAAACATAAGTGAAACATTTAATAAGATATGAAGGATCCAAGAAATATTACTGTAAGTAATAAGCCAGTCCTCTGCTCTCTGCTCTATAAAATAAATAACAGTCAACATTAATAGTTTATTCAAATACACCCTCACAATAATTCACAATAACAATGTTACTATACTAAACTTTGGACATTACACAGCAGACCTAACCAGAATGTTCTATAATGTTTGCCCAAAATGATTAGGCTAAGACTGACACATCTTCAAGAGGAAGGACAGCCACTGGCAATGGGATTCTTTGTGCCATCGGTGCTCTGACTTGGCACATCAGTGCTCCAGTCAAGAGAAAGTGTGCTGCTGATCTGAAAGTCAATGTGCTTGGTGTTAAAGTATGTAGGACACAAGCCATTTGGAATTTAATAGGTCAGGCCAATCACTTTTAGTTATGGTCTGTAGCTCAGAAAAAGTTGCTGAAGGCACAAGAGTAAATTTGCTCAGACTGATCCCTGCCTTCAGAAAGTTGGTCCTATATTTTGAATGTACTGAAACTTCTGAACAGTTGGAGGCAGCCTTAATCAAGATTATAAAGTGTATGAATAAGGAATAGCAGCCTGTATCTGTCCAGAAGTAGACAAGTAAGAAGTAAAGTGAATGTATGAGAGAAGCTAGCTTATCCTGAGTCCTTGGGACAGACTATACTTTTTTTAAAAAAAAGGATGGGGGGGGAGCGAGGCACCACTGTACTTTTTTTTAAAAAAGGATGGGGGAAGTGGAGAAGGAAAAAGGGGCCAACCAGCAACTAATGCATGACACTTTCTACACTCCAAAGATGGATCTATACTTACCATGCAAAGATTTCATTCCTAATGTGTATGATGGCCTTCTTAAGGGCAATGATTTGGGAAGAGAAGGGTATGTGCTGGTGAAAAGAACATCATTTGGAAGGGCTTGGTCCAGAAGAGAAGCTCTTGATGGGAAGAAGTGCTCCCTTTGACTGCTGTAAATACTTTCATCTGACAGAGTCCTCTGCAATGCCCGCCTTGACGTGGGAGTGCTAGGGAACGGTGACTGAAATAAAAGAAGAAAAATGCATCAGAAACTACAATAGTATCCATCCAGCAGTGAACAATAGCTCTATTTAGATGTTACTTACCTAATTCTCTCCATGCAAGCAGGGAAGCACCTAGCGCCACCTCTGCTTGTCATCATCATCTCCACACAAACAGTGACACCCTTGCACAGAAGAGGTACTTGTTCATGCGAAGGCTCTCCATGGGAGCACAGAACCTGATTCTTCAGGTTTGCATGAGTTTATATGGGAACATCAATCTCTTCTCTTCAGATGTCACATTCCACGTATAGCAAATGACAAGGGAGAGGTTACACACTTCCCTGCTTGTGTTTTGGAGAGAACAAGCTAAGTCACACCTGGCAAGGGCTAATATTACCTCTGAAGTTCCAGTAAAAAGATATTGTTATTACATACTTTCAAAAATGAAACTCAGTTTCAATTTAATGTTTTATATACATGGAGTCATTTCAGAAGTTAATGTTTACCTATACCTGAATCCACATAACGTTTAAACAAACTAATTCAGTGTTGTTGTTTAGTCGTTAAGACATGTCTGACATTTTGTGACCCCATGGATCAGAGCATGCCAGGCCCTCCTGTCTTTCACTGCCTCCCAAACTTGAGTCAAATTCATGTTGGTAGTTTCAATGACACTGTCCATCCATCTCATCCTCTGTCGTCCCCTTCTCCCACTTTCCCAACATCATGGTCTTTTCCAGGGAGTCTTCCAGCATGTGAAATGAATGCAATCGTACGGTAGTTGGAGCATTCTTTGGCACTGCCCTTCTTTGGGATTGGGATGTAAACTGATCTTTTTCAATCCTCTGGCTACTGCAGTTTTCCAAACTTGCTGGCATATTGAGTGTAGCACCTTAACAGCATCATCTTTTAAGATTTTAAATAGTTTGACTGGAATGCCATCACATCCACTGGCCTTGTTGTTAGCCATGCTTTCTATGTCCCACTTGACTTCCCTCTCCAGGATGTCTGGCACAAGGTCAGCAACCACACTCCTTCTCGGCAGTGGCCCCTCGCCTTTGGAACAGTCTGCCTCCAGAGATCTGTCTGGCTCCCTCGATGGGTTTTTGAAGAGCAAACTTAAGACCTGGCTCTTTAGGCAGGCCTTCCCTCCTGTCATCACTTGGAAATGTCTACCCATCTTGAACTATATTACTACTGTTGTTTTTTATTTTATTATATTGTTTTTATTCTATCTATTATTGTTAGCCGCCCAGAGCAGAATTCGGTCCAGATGGGTGGGGTATAAAATAAACAAACAAACAAACAAACAGTCACCTCTTGTGTTGCTGGAAAAGAGTGTTTGTGATGACCAGCCTGTTCTCTTGACAAAACTCTATTAGCCTTTGCCCTGCTTCATTTTGAACTCCAAGGCCAAACTTACCTGTTGTTCCTTTTTCTCTTGACTCCCTACTTTAGCATTCCAGTCCCCTATAATAAAAAGAACATCTTTCTTTGGTGTCAGTTGTAGAAGGTGTTGTAAGTCTTCATAGAACTGGTTGATTTCAGCCTCTTTAGCATTGGTGGTTGGTGCATAAACTTGGATTACTGTGATGTTGAAAGGTCTGTCTTGGATTTGTATTGAAATCATTCTATCATTTTTGAGATTGTATCCCAGTACAGCTTTTCCCACTCTTTTGTTGACTATGAGGGCTACTCCATTCCTTCTACGGGATTCGTGCCCACAATAGTAGATATGATAATCGTCCAAACTGAATTCGCCCATTCCCTTCCATTTTAGTTCAGTGACACCCAGGATGTCAATGTTTATTGTTGCCATCTCTTGTCTGACTACATCCAGCTTACCAAGGTTCATAGATCTTATATTCCAGTTTCCTATGCAGTATTTTCCTTTGCAACATCAGATTTTCCTTTCACTTCCAGGCGCGTCCACAGCTAAGCATCCTTTCGGCTTTGGCCCAACCACTTCATTAGCTCTGGAGCTGCTTGTCCTTGTCCTCCGCTCTTCCTCAGTAGCATGTTGAATGCCTTCCGAACTGAGGCACTCATCTTCCAGCGTCATATCTTTTAGCCTTTTGTTTCTGTCCAAAGAGTTTTCTTGGCCAAAATACTGGAGTGGCTTGCCAGTTCCTGCTCCAGGTGATTGCGTTTAGTCCAAACTCTCCACTATGACCTGTCCTTTTTGGGTGTCCCTGCACGGCGTAGCCCATAGTTTCTCTGAATTACTCAAGCCCCTTCGCCATGACAAGGAAGCAATCCGTGAAGGGGTATGCAGTGTAGGAGAGGCCACACCAGTTGGGGTAATCTGTCTGCAGTTCTCTCTCTGCTATCCCTATCTATCCCTACTTTGGGGTCCTCAATCAAATAGAAACTTCTATGAGGAGGGAAGTATAGGTGGATGCTTCCCCTACAGCGGTCAAGCACTATTACAAGGAGGAAAGGGAGTCATGGCAGTGAGCGCAGTGAGGGATGTTATGTGAGAGGGCTTACAAATGGAATAAGTATCCCCTCCGAATGTGGTTTACTTTGCTGACCAAAGAGTGCTTCTTAGTAAGTCGTTTCAAACCAATGAAGAAGGACAGTCTCACTGTCCTTGCTCACTAAGAGGAGACACTCCTACAGATTTGGCAATACTAATAACAGGGATCAGATTCACATACTTTGGCAGGTCATTTGCTTCAGGGAGTGGCAATCATCCATCATCTAAATAAGGAGAATCAGTTGAGGGAGGACAGACTCCATTGATCACAAAGATTTCCACAACAGACATGTATTAACAGTTACTGGGGATAATCAATCACTTAAATGAATAAAGATTTTGTGAAAAGACAATAGTCTTTGTCTAATGGGTCACAATAAAGGTGTTTATCTTCCCCTTCTCAGCAAAGCCAATATGCAGTTGTTGGGGGCAGTGGGGGTGGGAATCCTTGCCTATGGCAATTTTCCTTTGCTCAAAGGCAACATTGAAAGATAATCTGTATATAAAGCCTCCTACTTACAAGTTTTAATAAGCCTCTTTGGGTTTTGACAAGCAAAGGAAGAAGTTGCAAGTGCCCTCTTTTGCATCGTTGCTGTGGAAACCATTTAGTTGCTGACAACCATGAAATGTTAAGCAGTGGTTTTCAGCACACAGGTCTCAGAAATCAGGGTTCTCTCTCCAAGATTATTCGCTGGATGTTTTAGGATGGTTAAGTCATCAGTATTTCTGGTGAAAACCTTAAGGAACTGCTCGGTATGTATTTATTTTATGTGGACTCACTTTCAAAATTTTAGAAGCAATCCATAAAGTGTGGCTCAAATACTGAGGAAATGTCGAGCGCACTGTGAACATGCTGTTACTCAAGTGCTCTGATCAGAGAAGTGGAAAAGCCACTCAAGCGAATAAGGTGATATTTGGAACGCAACACTGATGGCTGGTAGCTCTTAAATAACTACAACTGTTCCCCATGGGTAAAAAAATAATGTAGAAGTTATTATATGATTGTATAGCTGCTAAAGTACTGAAATCTTCCCAAAGTAGAACTATGCAAGAACGAGAAAGTGCAGAACTTATTCTATGAGGCTAGTGGCAATGCTATGATTCATGAGGACAATTCACACACTAGTTAGGAGACCTTGCATCATTCTTGTCACCACAGATGACACTGTGAAGGTTTCCAGGACATACAGGAAAGATGCTATGATGTGGGAATTATATAAAAGAAAACATGTTAACATTTTCTCTTTGTTCTGATGTTAAATCACAAAGACATTTTCCAGTGGATATTCTGTTACTGATTCAGATTTTATTCACCACGAATTTTATGCACAGTCACACAAGCCATATGCAGTTATTCTTATCCACATATAAAGCTCTCACAAAGAGTACATCCCTTGTTCCCTTGTCCCCTGCATATGGAAGGTGACAAGTCTGAAGGAAAAATCCTCTGCTTTGCTTTTCCAGAGTGCCAGCTCACATGAAGAGGCCCCCCAGGGGGAGCTGATGCCTCCCTCTTCAGAGTTGATGACTCCCATGTGTAGGAGGAGGATGGAAATGATGACTGAGGGGGGAAGGGCAGGAATGACTAAACAAAGCTTAACTCCCTTTAACAACAACAAAAGTAATAAAAATCTCTAAAAAAAGAAAAAGCTGTAATTCATGTAAACCATTTCTCTTGAAAATATGTCTACCATGAAGGGGCCTCTCCAAAACTCCAAACCTTAGTCAACCTCCTGGAGCTTAAAAAACAAACTTGGTGAACTAGGAGGTCATTCCACACGGAGGGACAAACACTACAGAGGTAACGTTTTCTCTTTCATCTCTTCTGACATTCAGAAACTGAGAAGATCTACTGTGGTAGATTACTAAGCAAATGGAACTGTACTGGGGGAGGGGAGAAGATATCTGTTAGATGTCCCATGCCATCCAAGGTTTGTCCTCCCTGTAGGAAAAAGTTAACATCAAGACTTTTTCCTAGCCGACAGCATCACTAACAAAACAGGTATTATGTGCAGCAAATATTGGCCTGCATCCTTCCAGGGGCCTGACCTCACAAGGAGCAGTGCATTCTATATGTGTTTCCTTTTCTGATGCTGGTGCCCAATCTCTCACACAAGTAGAAACTGCTGTCCCCTCTCCCCCCTCCTTTTTTTTTTTGGAGTGTGATGGTCTCCAGTTTGTGTATCTACAAGACAGAGATTGCCAGCACAGACATGGAGCAATCTGGAAGGCTCTGCATTTTCTCCTGCCCATTGTATGTTGTGAAGAAAATGTATTCTACACACACTACTACATATTCTGCAGATAAAATAAAGCAAAGTGTTCTGCTTTTCTATTGTCCCATAGCGCTTAAAGCACTCTCTCCGCAGTTTACAGTTTTAATTATACAGGTGACACATCCCCCCACCTCCACCACGCAAGCTGGGTACTCAATTTACCAACTTCAGAAGGATGGAAGGCTGAGTCACCCTCAAGCCAGTGACCTGAACCTAAGATCAAAGTCAGGTTATAAGCAGAATCTTCACTACAGTAGTGCAGTTTTTAACCACTACACCATCTCTCTCCGCAGTTTACAGTTTTAATTATACAGGTGACACATCCCCCCACCTCCACCACGCAAGCTGGGTACTCAATTTACCAACTTCAGAAGGATGGAAGGCTGAGTCACCCTCAAGCCAGTGACCTGAACCTAAGATCAAAGTCAGGTTATAAGCAGAATCTTCACTACAGTACTGCAGTTTTTAACCACTACACCACGGGGATTCTTAGAAACTCAGCAAAGGTTTATAAGAAATCAATGCACTTCTTATAAACCTTATATCAGTTAATGTGTAAAACTTGTAGCTCAGTTTCTCTTGTTACCAGGATGTTTTTACACTCAACAGCAATAGGCTTCTAGGTACAGGACTGAGTTATATTCTTTTGCACCTCACACCAGCCACAAAAGTTGATAGTTTACTTCGGCATCCATTTTTCAGAGTAAGAACATTATATATTTCTCTGTTAAAGCTTCAGCCTTAAAAACCCCTCTTTTTTCAGGCTTGATGATGTTTCAGAAAGGGCTTGTGGGGAGTTTGATATTAGAGCAGAGTAGTCTGTATATTTGTCTAAAGAAGTGACACAGAAGAAACTGCAGACAGCTGGCTATTCGGTTATTAGGTTAAAGCCCCAACAGCCCCTAGTTTAGCTGGGATCAAACAAAGATCATAAAAAGCAATAGACTTTGAATCTTTGCTTTGAAAATAAAGACATTCTTTGCAACCCAGAGCCATCTCTATCCAGTGCAAAGTCTACAGCCCCTTTAAAGCCTTTTATGGCCTTTTTTGTTCCCAGCAAAACTAGGGACCAAGCCGCCTTAAATAGCCTGCTGTCTGCAGCTTCCCCATTACATCTTCGGACAAAATATACACTCTTCTGAGTTAACACTGAGCTTCGCTCGTCCTGTTTTTTTGTAACATCATGATGCCTGTTGAAGAGCTTTTTTTTTTTAAAAAAATTTGCACACAGAATGAAATTATCACAACATAGATTCTGGCATTTATCTTATGGATGACATAAATGGCTTCTGCATCTGATGTATTTCTGTTACACATACCTTGAAGTTTTTCTGAGACTCTGGTGTTGGACTGTCCAGATCTATCAGCTTCTTCAGCTCTTCTTCAATATTTGACTTAGAGGCATGCTTTGGCGAGGCTCGAAGGTCTCTGGCTGATGCACGCAATCTAGGATGAGCCATTTCATTACCATCACTCTGGTGACGCCTTTAAAAAGAAGGAAGACACATATTTAGGCATCAAAAGTCCTCAGACAGGACGCCTCTAATATTCTGCAGTTATTTTGATAAAAGGTTTAGAGAGGAAGTGAGCATGTGGATGGGCAGAGGGACTGAGAACATTCAGTTTTCCTACAACAGATTCATAAACAGAAATAATATACTAAAGGAATAAACCTAGTTGGAACATCTGTTTTTCTATGTATGGATAATACATTCATCATAACAGCTGCAATCCTTACCACATCTGCTCTAGATCTGCCCAGCACCCACCATGTCTAAAGTTACTGAAATCTATTTAACACCATTGACGATAAACAGTCTGTGCCTTCGCATTAGTTAAAGTGCATGGCATAAACTGCACTCAGAAGTGTCCATGATTTGATCATTGTGGGTTACTGTGCTGTTGCCTTTCTCTGCTCTGCCCCTAATATAACCCATTATTCCAGCCATATACTTCCTTAACAGTTTTGACCCGACTATTTGTATTACCTCATGTCCAGATAAATATATTCCTTGTACTGTTTCTAAAGCTGTATTTTTGAAGATTGGCCTGTGACTAACTTCTCTTATTTTAATTTCACTTCATGTGCGTGACACTCAAATCGTTGATGAGTCTTTAACTAAAATAACCGCAATCATAATCAGTGAATTCCTTGGAATTAATACAGTAGATGTAACTTCTCTGCAACTATTTGGAAGTCCATATTTGAAAAAAACTATTGGTGTGATCTCCTCTGCCAGCATTTCTTCACACTTTGTCAAAGGATTGCTGGCATTATCTGGTGAAATTCATATTTCCAATAATAAGAGATGTCTACAAATTTACTAATCAACCCTAAGAAGTAGGATGTCTATCCAGGCATAGATTTCATCTCTAGAAATCTCATTTGTATTGTAGTATGAAGATTTAAACACATGCCCACACACGCACATGTCCACACACCTCTATTCTACAGTTTCCGATCTACTACAAAACCCAGCACCAATGCAATGCTATACTAAGTTGTCTGTACAGAAAGAAGGTGATTGGGATAACCACAAATAGCTGATTAAGTGAAGCCAAAACTTGTGGATTGTGGACTACTAATATTTTTAAATGATTATAGCCTCTAAAAATCTATTAATTCTAATAAAAACAATCTTTTCAAGGACTTTGAAAGCTTATCTTTCAGTCTGAGCATTTAAAAACTGTTAGGAATAAAATCTCACACATTATTGATTGCAGCCTTCAGTATTTTCTTTAATGTATTTAGAAATCTTGTCACAGTGAACATTAATAACTATAGAGAAGGACTTTCATTTAATTCCTTTCATTAACTATACAATTCAATTATTCAAAGACTTTTAGAGACAACAGAAGTCCCTTTTTACAGAACTGCTAGAGAAATTACTGATCAATAATTAGTTTTAATTACTGTTCCATTTAATGTCCTTCAGAGTTTTCTGTGAGCTACTATGCATTTTTGAGATGTCCCCATGCCAAAAATTAACATGAACCAAAGTAGAACCAAAATGCTCTTACTTTCTTGAGTCCATAAACCCCACCGAATTTATTGTCCCTTCAGGTTTTTTCCATCCGATCAGGTACTTGCTAGTAGCACCCTGGCGTGGGTAGAAAGTCCTAGGGCCCGAGGAGGAAGAAGAGGAGGAGAAGGAGGGTGCAAGCTGTGGGGAAGTGGCAGAATGAAGCTCTTCTTTAGGTGAACTTCTGGCACTGGTAAAAACAACAGGACTGGCAGAGTGTCGAGAACCCATGGTACTGAGAGAGAAGCATAACAAAGACAACGCTTGATTGAAATGTGCAGGTGTACATTGTATAACATTTATTCCAAAGTTGCATTTTGTCACATGCAACACATATTCTTGCTGACTGCAAAGAAACCTAAGGATTTTTTTACTGCTGTAAACTTAAGCATTCACCTTATGAAAATCGAAGCTATAAAGCTTTTGTGTCATCAGTATCAGCAGACTGACCCAGTCCTAGTTCATATTTAGCAGCAACCTTAATAAGAATCAGGACTGTGTGCAACAAATCTGTACATAGTTTCATTCATCGCAACATGAATAAAGCAATATTCTGAAAAGGGAAAGGTACGTGTGTATGTGTTTGTGTTTATGCACAAGACAGACACAATATGGCACAACACTCCCAATCTGTTGTTCATGTTTGGCTTTCAAGGAGCAAGGTCTATAAAATTTCGTGCACGTATGGGACATGGATGTGCCTTGAGGAAGTAATGTCCTGAATGAAAAGTATAACATAGCCTAAGAAATTATGTATTGAGATTTATACAACTGTTGTTCTTTCCATTGATGGAATCATTTTAAGTGCTGCTAGGGCACATCACACCCAGAAGGTTTTGCCTGGACTCTTCTGCCACTCCCTAGCAGCATCTTCCTTGGAAATACTCAGTTTTGGGGAACTTCCAAATGTACTGACATAATAAAGAATGAAGAAGTACTTCTCCAAATAGGAAAAGAACAAGAAATAGGGTTGATTTTTAAGAAACATAAGCTTTCATATCCTGGACACATAATTTGTCACGTCAAACATAATATACTGCAATATGTCAATGAAGGGAATATTGAAGGTAAAAATCGGAGAAGTAAAAGACGGATTTCTTGGGTAACATAAAAGGCTGAACGGGCCAAAATTCTGTTTCACAATTACATGCACACAACATAAGACTGCACCCAGAGCAGTTGAGCAAAGGCTGAGGTGGAAGTGCGAACCTGTAAGAACTCCTGCCAGTGCTTTGTGCAATCACTTGTGCTACGTATGCGTGACTGATTGCACAAGTGCATGGTGCAGTGGGGAGATATGTCATGATGGTAGCTATCTCAGCAACAGAGATGGCAATCAGAGAGAACGAGAGCGAGAGAGCAAGGCAAAGGGTAATGGTTGTGTTGGCTCTGGGCTTTGCATAGCTATATTAAAAAAAAAGAAAAGAAAAAAAAGTTTCCCACATCATTTCTTAATCTGAAACATCTCCCCCAACTAGTTAGGCAGTGCTAGAATACAGAAGGATGTGGTCAACTACTCATTCTGTCAAGGATATGATGCCCAGGATAGACTTCATAGATCATTAACCAATTTTTAAGTTTAAAACCTAGATCACTAACTAGTTTTACAGTTTAATACCTAAAACCCTCTCCATTCTATACATTGCTGCCTATATGTGCTTCATGTAAGTAATATTTCCATAAAAGATTTCAGCATTTACTACGTTGTACTATATGGAGAACTGGGGTCTACTGAGTTCAGCAGAACTTACTCCAAGTAAGTGTACAAAGAATTGCACCTTTATTTCGTTTACGTTTTAAAAAAAAAGAAAAGACCAACCTTTCACCTTCCCTGGGCCACATTAGAAGATGAAAATTTGGTTTGGGCCACACATAAATTTGGTTTGGGCCGCATGGGGGGCAGCCCTAGCCGTCCTCCGCAGCCCAGCTCCAAGTGCGCTTACCGGCAGCTGCGATCTCAGACAGCAGAGGTTGCCAGCTTCGACTCCGGTGGCTTTATGGGACCGGGAGGGGGTCACACAATGCAGTCACACAGCTCCCCTCCCCTCCCGCTCCTTCCTTCCTTCCCTCTCTCCCCCCTACCGTTGTGACGTGCCCCTGGCTGCAAGCGCCGGCCGTGTAACTTGAAACTTTGGAATTACTTTAAAAATAAAAAATTGTACTGGGCCACATTACGATCCGATCTGGGCCGCATGCGGCCCACGGGCCGCAGGTTTGACAAGCCTGATCTATAGTAAAGGTTTTATGCTATTTCTGTAATACATTTTAGGACAGCTAGCATTAGAACAGGGTGTATAGTTCTGCAGCATCCAAATCCTATCCTCTGCCTTCCTCTTGCCCAATTTCAAGGAGATGACTCTTCCCCTCCTACTGTCAAGGAGACAAGATGGAGTATTTGTAACATGATCTTTGGGGAAGGGACGGAAGAGACAGTTTCCCTTTACACAAAATGCTCTTTCCCAGCTGGAATCTGCATCAGCATCACTGGGTGTGGTGGAGTGAAGGCTTTCTACAGGGAAGAATACTAGGATATCTACATGTTTGTGTGCTTGGACACAATCCTGACCTCCAGTAAGCATCACTTGGAACAAAAAAAGATGAGCACCCCTGAAGCTAGTACCATTTCCCCAAAAAGAATACTTTACCTGAAAATAACCCATAGTATGATTTTTAGGATGCTCATAATATAAGCCCTATCCCAAAAATAAGCCCCAGTTAATTGAAACCCTGCCCTTCACCATTGTGCTGCATTGTGCAGCAACCAGAAGACGACATGACCGTAAAATAAAACATCCCCTAAAAATAAGCCCTAATGGGTTTTTTGGAGGCAGCCTTTTTCTGAATTAAAGGGGTGATATGACCAGGGCCTCAACCCAGAAAGATCTTCTTGTAAGTTCTGCTACCACAAACAACACTTAGCGTCTTTTACCTCTCTCTCTCTCTCTCTCTCTCTCTCTCTGTGTGTGTTCCGTGTCAGAAAGTCACAATTGACTCATAGTGACCTTAACAGGGCTATAAAAGTAAGATATTTAAGGAATGATTTTACCAGTTCCATTCCCCCAGTGAGTTTTCATGGAAGGTGGGGATTCAAACCCTGTCCTTCAGATCCCCAGTCCATCACTCTTATCAACCACACCACACTTAGAATCTTTTTACTTTAGGCTGGCAATTAAAGGGCCAAGTGCTACTTACAACAGTGGTCCCCAACCTTGGGCCTCCATATGTTCTTGAACTTCAACTCCCAGAAATCCTGGCCTATAGAGGTGGTGGTGAAGGCTTCTGGGAGTAGTAGTCCAAGAACATCTGGAAGCCCAAGGTTGGGGACCACGGACTTACAAGACCCAGTTTAGCTAGGAGGCTGACAAATGAGCTGTAGCTGAGAACCTCCCAAAAGCTGTACAGGCTTAAAAAATGTACAGCTTAGAATACCTAACCTGAAAATCAAGCAAAAACATTTTATAGTCTATTATACTTGAGGAACATAATATTTAATGTATATTATGCAACAGAGTATCATATTTATGATGGGGTCACAATGGGGTCACGAAGAGTCAGACACGACTTAATGACTAAAGAACAATCATATTTATGTACAGAACTTTAGGACCAGATTTACCTAGAATGAAAACAGACATTCGGTGTTACTAATTGTTTTTAGTGTTCAAGATCTGAGTTATTAGCAGATAGAGTCCTTTTATAGCACTGATATTTAAATAAAGAGAATAATGCCTCCATATTTATGAAGCTCTCAGAGTAACAGAAAATCTGCACAGGGTACAAGACGATTGCTTCGTATGATGACGAATTCGCTTTCTGATGAGGTTTTTGGAGCAATCTTGCACTTCGTTTAACTATGTTTCCTATGGGTGATTTTCGCTTTACGATGTTAGGGACCTTGCCTTGCAAGACGATTAAATTTTAGGTCCTGTTTTTCACTTTATGATGTTTTTGACAGCTTGGTCTTGCTTCGCTATATGAGTCTTTTAATGGTCTCTGTTTCGTTAGACGGCTGCCTTCGCTTGGGAACCGCGTTTCGCTTAACGAAGTTTCCTATGGCAATTTTCGCTTTACGATGACAATCTGTTCCCATTGGAACGGATTATCAGGTTTTCAATGCATTTCAATGGGAAAACGTGTTTCGCAAGACGATGTTTTCGCTTAACAGTGATTTTCGCGGAACAAATTAACATCGTCTCGCAAAGCACCACTATATTGGCAAAGGGGGATGATGTTTTCGCTTAACAGTGATTTTTGTGGAATTAACATTGTCTTGCAAAGCACCACTGTATTGGCAAAGGGAAGTACAGCAAAAATTTCATTCTAAATTTAATCTTGCAATTCTCCTATTAATTCTTAGGTTTATGTTTTCCTAAGTACTAGAGACAGTCCAAACTGAACAGCTGCATTTGGAGAACCTCTGTCACCCACACTTTAAAAGCTGTGGGACTGACACCACAATTCTTCTGCTCAGCTGACCCTTCACTACACCCCTCTGCTGCCCTCCCCACTGCAGATGACTGCAAGACAGATGGAAAGTTTGTACAGGACCTGCTCTCCACCACCAAGAAGGCCAATTAGACCTTAATGTCTCCTTCAGTTCTAAACTACCATGTGGAAAGAAAGCCAATTAATATTTTGACACCAAGGAAATTAATTCAGACACATTCAGAATCAGGCAGTGGAAAGGAAGCTAATATTACACAGTGTTCAATTATGTACTCATTAATTACTACTAATGTTTCCTAAAGACACAAACCCCAATTTCTTCCTGCCTTACTTTCTTACCTTATTGCAAGTCTCTGCTCAGTCTGTCCCAAAGCAAAATGTTTTCCAGGGCAGCTACTTTAAAAGACAATATGAAGCGTACAGACATCTGAATACGGAAGATTTATAAGTAAGAAGGATAGGGAAGCAGATATTAAGATGCATATCCACTAACTTCTGAATGAGGGATAGAGTAATCTTAAACTCCGATCCTCCATTACAAAAAGTAAAGACTATAAATATTGTTCAGTTTTAAGCAAACCAATCATGACTGCATTAAACCAAGACTGCATTTCAACAATTAACATTCCATAACATTGGTCTTTTGAAACCCTGAAGATCAAAGCCTATAAAATTAACTATATATTACAGCATGCAGTGTTCAATGATTCCTAAAGAACTGATTTCATCAATTTATATATCGTCCCAAACTTCTGATTAGTATTTAGTTGAAGTATCAGTCACTGCAGGGGGCACCCCAAGCTCTTCTTCCAACAATGCACTCACCAGCCCTTGGAAAAATCCACACTAAGCTTAGGACCCATTTAGAGCACAAACCACAACAGTGTACCAAGGGCTGCTGCTGGAACAAGAAGTTTCTCCCGGATGCATATGAAAGTATTTTCCACTTGCACACAGAAGACAGTTGAATATTGTCAACTGTATTTAAACGGTGAACTCAAAACAGTCCACACAAAAAAGAAGCAAAAAACTGCTATTGTACAAAGTGACTATTATATACTGGATCTAAAGACTTAGCGAGATAGCTGTGAGTTACTGAGCATTACACTAGTGCTACAAGCAGATACACTGGCATGATTCAGTTTCAGATCCAGATGTAATCCCAATACAGTATTATACTGTGTTGCACAGTATAGCACTTGCAAAAGATCTTATATCTGACACATTTATATTCTTTTCCTCTTGTATGCTCAGTTCCCTGCAGAGGCCAAAATATTTGCTGGATGAAGAACAAAGAGCTCAAATATGAATTATAAAAATCCATGATGCTAATTTCTATGAGAGTAACAAGGCAAATCTTGACATAAGCAAAAAAAATCCATGATGCTAATTTCTATGAGAGGCAAATCTTGACATAGGCAAATCTTTACACAATGATTTACACAGTTACATGTGCAGATGTAAAAGAATCTATGGAAAAAACTGATTAAATAGGCCAGAGTGTTTTAAGCTATAAAAACAGAAGACTAAGGATGAACTACTAGGCAACAGACTCCTATGCAGTGCAATTCTTATTACACATTTAGACTAAAAATTGAGGCTAGTCTTATACACAGAAGTAAGCTGAGGAGAGTACAAAAACAAGTGGAGGGAAAAGCAGGGATCAAATTTTTCCTGCAGGGGTTTTGATCCCTGCTTTCCCCTCCACTTGCTAATCCTTAGCAAAAGGAAAGCAGGGATGAAAGCGCTACAGGATCGCTTGATCCCTGCTTTCCCTTCTGCTTGCTAAGTTCCATGGGGCTTAACAAAAGAAGGGGGGAAAGAAGCACACAAACCTGTGGTTGTATAAGGGGGGATAAAAACAACAGCACACAAACCTGTGGTTGTATAAGGGGGAAGGGATAAAAACAACCGTGCAGTTGCGGGTTTGCTTTGATCCCTTCCCCCCTCTTTTTGCTAACCTCTGTGGGGCTTAGCATGAAGGAAAAAAGCAGGGATCAAAGCAATCCTGCAATGCTTTGATCCCTTTCCCCCTACACTTACTAAGCTCCACTTAGATTTCTTAATTTTGGGTTAGAAAAGTGGGGGGTGTCTTATACAGGGAAAAATACGGTAAAACTCTCACATACTCCTTATCTAGCTCTCGTAACTGGATGCAATGCTAAAAGGTAGTAGTCTAAGCTGTGGCTAAGAGGTAACTACACAGTGCCCCTGATTTGGTTTGGTGGCTGATCTGGCACTTTAGATTGCATCCTAATGTCATCTGGAGAAATCTGGACCCTATCTGATTTGGTCCAGATCCTGAATGGCAGCAAAACAGAAATTAAATGAGACATTTAAAATTAATCTCCTGTTCTGTTGACATCAAAACTGTAAATTGCTGTATTGTTCCTTGCTACAGCCCCCCAAACTAAAATAAAAATTTAAAAAGGTGTGTGTTCCTTAGCAATTTGATTATTATTATTTTTCCTAAGACAGCTGAAAATGTATATTTAAAAGAACACTAAAACTAAAAACCACAATAAATTACAATATTAAATTACAGTATTAAATAAATTAACAGGCTAAAACAAACACAAAGTTAAGGAGGTTTAAACCATTTAAACCAAAATAACAACAACCACATGCTGTTAAAAGGCTCTGTTTTGTGGCCAAAGACCAGTTTAAATAAAAATGTCTTTGCTTTTCAGCCAAAGAACAGGAAAGAGGGGGCAGTTCCATAGCTTGGGAACATCCAGTGAAAACGTCTCTGTTGTCACCAAATATGAGGGACAGAAAGAAACGTCTGTCCTGAACATCTTAGGACTCAGGGACGCCCAAATGGGAGATAACAATTCTTCAGTTAGCCTGGATCAAATCCGTATAGGGCGTTAGAAGGCATCACACCCACTTTGAATCTGCCTGGAAAGAGAATGGTAGCTAGTGAAGCTGTTGCAACTAGCTCCGGTCAACAGCAACATTTTGAAACCACTGGAGATTCCACGTCCAAAGTCAGCCCCATGTAGAGTGCATTTCAGTAATCCAAACTAATGGAAGTGAATGATGTGTTACCATGCCAGATAAGACTTCTCCAGAAATGGGTGCAGCCAGCCCTCTTGTTTAATTGTGAAAATTCACTTTTGGCCTCAAACACAATTTGGCACCCAGGGTCAGAGCTGAATCTAGGAGTGCATCCAACCTGTGACACAAAGGGGAGTGTAACCCTATCCTGCACAGGTTGAATCCTTATCTCAAAACTGCCTTTTGATTTACTAAAGTCTCTTGTCTGGATTAACTTGTTCACCCTCATCCTGTTCTATTACTGATTCCACATACTAGTTTAGAAGTAAGAGAGCTTCCTCTATTTCTCCTGGAAAGGAGAAACAGAGTTGGGTATAATCAGTATATTGGTGGCATCAAATCCTCAAATTTTGGGTGACCTTTTTCAACTGTTTCATATATCAGTATATTGGTGGCATCAAATCCTCAAACTTTGGGTGACCTTTCTCAACTGTTTCATATATAGCATGGTTTCTTGTATAGCAGGGTGGGGGACCCAGAACCTGAGAGTTCCCACAGGTCAGTGACCAAGAACAGTAAAAGAGTGCTTCCATCTGCGAGAGGCAGCCCAGAAGGATACCAAGTTCAGTGGTATAAAAACACTGAGAGGTCCAGTAAAAGTAAAAGTACACACTCCACCTGCCCAAATCCCAACATTGGTTATCTATTACTATAAGTTGATCAAAGCTGACTCTGCCCCATAACTATGCTTGAGTCAGTCTGAAATGGACCTAATAATCTGTCTCTTTCAAGAATCCCTGGAACAGAGAAGCAACCACATGGTCTAGTACCTTGCTTAGAACTGAATATTGAAGACTGACTGGTAGTTATCCATATGGTGTCATTCAAGAAGGCTTCTTTCAGCAACAGTTGTACTACAGCCTGCTTCAGGCATGCTGGAATCCTGTCTTGATGCCATCAGGCAGTGACCCCTCCCCTAAGCCATTCAGTTAGTTACCACCACCTCTGCTACTTTTATGAGTCATGAAGTTCAGCTTAGCTCTTTGTCTAAATGAAGGGAAGAAACCATAACAGGACATTTTAGCACCTTTTCCTCAACCCAAAATGAGACCTTCATATTGCCTTGCTAGTAGTCTGCAGGGAAGGATCCAACACCACTATCTCACCAAGGTATTGGTTGACCTGGGATGACATAATAAATCTCCATTTTGCATCCTTCTGCCCCCTATTCCCCCTCTTTCTCCTCCACTGTTGCCAGCATAAGCTTCTTGCAAGAGGCAGACTGAGAGCTTGATGCCAGATGAAACTAAGCACTCTTAGTTTTTGCACTACAAGGCTGTATGCTTTTTACCAGGCTGCTGGTTCTTTTCTGACTAGATTCTGAGCAAAGATCAGTCTGCTTCTTTCTGGCTCACGGAATTTGTGTACCTGCATTATTTCTATGGAGATGGCTCGATTAAATTACACTACAATATTAACAGCTGAAATGAAAGTATAAATGATAAAGTTAAGACAAAGGGGAGATGTAATAAATTAAATGTAGTTCTTTGTAGGCATGGGACTTTGGGATTTTTTTTTAATACAACCCGTAGAATTCACCAGGAGTCTGGAGCTAGAATTCTGGAGTGTGTAGCAAGATAAAAACAAAAACACAACACAACACACACACACCCTACAGCTACACTAAATCCTCAGAAGAATTTCAGTACTTACACATGCCTTGGCAAATCTCCCACTGGAGACAGCAGTATTTGCTGAAGGAGAAGGAAAGGGTAGGAGTGGCTAAGCTCCATGGGAGCTGCAAAAGTTTAAGGGATTTGTAGTCTCTCTGCTCATTAGGCTCTGTAAAGGGTCGAAAGTCCTCAAGAACCAACTACTTTACTCCAGAACCAAACCTGGCCCTCTCATTTCCATCCAAACAAATCAGGCCCAAAGGGGTCTATTTGGTTTCCTATTCAGCCAATGTGAAAGGGCAGCTATAAGCTAATTGAAATGAAAGTGTAGGTGGGGAAAAGCATTTCAAACATGAAATCCTGAATGTTTCCAATACCTAAATTTGCACCTTATACACACCGAATGGGTACAAACTGTAAAATGCCCTATGTACTATTGTAACATTCTGCTCAGTTCCCACATGATCTTAAGCTCTCCCAGAATAGAGAAAACAGGGAGGGTCCCATCCACAAAAGGAATGCTCAGACTTATTCTCCATTTCCAAACGCTCTGCACAGTGCCTCTCTTCAAAGAGGTGGACTGCCAAGAAACATGTTTATGTTATTTTCCATAACACCCACACTTCACATCTGTTAGAAAGATATATAGAGATGCATCAATCATACTTTTAAAGAAAATTACCTTGCATGGGAAACAGCATCACTAAGACTAAAAGCACTGTTCTCTCTTGTCAAAGGATTGGAGGCTGGTTGATTTTTGGTATGAATGTCCAAGCTTAATGAAGATTCTGTCTTTCTGTCCATCATGTGGCTTTCTTTTTCTAAAGTTCGGTCTGCAATGGAAACTACTTCACTGGAACTGTGCCACAGTGGTGCCACTTTCTCTTTCACAAGTCCTGATCGGGGAGATGTTGCTGAGTTGCCCAGGGAGGCTGTGCTGCCATGGCTGGGGCCATATGAGGTGGTATCGATGCCACTGTCAGCAGAAGTGCCTTGAAGATAGTTGTAGCTATTCAGCTCTGACTCAGTTCTGTCTCCACTGTCGTACCACTTCTCATCACTATGGATGCTAGAAGCATTGCTGGAGAGAGTATTGCTGCTTGAATGGCTGGAGTAGTGGCTATCAGACTAAAAAAAATTGCATTAAATTAAAGGTTTGGAGAGGGAACAAAATGCAGTAAGAATTTCATATTGATAAAGGCAAGTGTGCACTGCATAGTTGTATCTAAAAAAATGCTCAGCTCAGGACTCAAGTTACAAAATTAGTGCTGTCTAATGCTCATCATGGGCCATTTTATAAATGAAAATACACACCCACCATATTTTATATACGGTAAGCTGGTTTTCAAATTCAGATAAACCCAGTCTAGATTTATCATTATAAAAATGTAACATACTCCTTTTAAAACACTGCAGAAAAATAGTTCTGCAGAAATAGTATACCTCATATATACTTAGAATCTGCAAATAATTAGTTAAATGTTGAGTTCTGACAAGCTATGTCAGTTAAATGATCATGATGAGTCTAAAAAGTGTACTTGATACTTCAGATGTTACAGAATGTCTGAACGTACAAGACATTCTGTGCACAAAACAAAAGACAAGAATATACAAAATTATTTACATTTCCTGGAGTTTATGAGTGTTCGTATCAAAGTTATCAAAAATCTCTCAACTTGAGTAGTTATATGCAATTGGTTTGTTGAACCAATTAAGCAAGGAATAACTCAGAACCTAAGAAACCAAACTGAAGAGTACATATGGAGAATGTCAGACAGGTAAATATATACAATATTTAAGGATGCATTAAATAATTCAGCTTAAAGAAGCTGTAGTACTGTGGCTATATTAAAATACAGTAATATTACTAGAAAATAATGAAGAATTTTGTACTCACACTAAAACATACTAATTTTAAAATATTACTAATATGTAGTATTAAATATACAGCTTTTGAAGATTTCAGTACAGTGGTGCCTCGTTTAGCGATTGCCTTGTTTAACGATGTATTCACTTAGCGATGGGTTTTTAAAAGAATTTTCTGCATCGTTTAACGATGTTTCCTATGGCCGATTTTTGCTTAGTGATTTCGGGACCATGCTTCGCATAGCGAATGCGTTTTGGGTCCCCTGTTTCGCTTAACGATGTCCGTCAAAATCGGGTTCAATGCATTTCAATGGGGGGGGGGAAATTCGCCAAAAATTAACGAAGACTCAGAACAAAGCCAAATTAAGTTTGCACACATTTTACAAGGTGCTCTAACGAATCCAAGCATTTAAAACAGTTTCTGACTCTTCGTTAATTTTTGGTGATTTTTTTTCTCCCCCATTGGAATGCATTGA